AAAGAGCTTGGAAGTGTACCTTCCTCTTGAATTTTTTGGAATAGTCTGAGGAGGATAGGTTTTAGTTCTTCTTTGAATGTTTGGTAGAACTCCCCTGTAAAGCTGTCCGGACCAGGGCTTTTGTTTGCTGGAAGATTTTTTGATCACTGTGTCAGTTTCTTCAGTAGTTATCGGCCTATTCAGGTGTTTTGATTCTTCTTGGCTGCATTTTGGAGCTTGTATTTTTCTAAGAATATGTCCATTTCATCTAGATTGTCCATTTTGTTGAAATAGAGTTGTTCATAGTATTTTTTCATAATCGTTTGTATTTCTGTGGGATCGGTTGTTATTTCACCTCTTCCATTTCTGATTTCATTTATTTGGGTCCTTTCTCAATCTTGTTTATCCTCCAAAAGTTTTTTTTATGTATTTGGGTGCTCCTGTATTGGGTGTGTATATGTTTACCAGAGTTATATTTTCTTGTTGGATTGCTCCCTTTAGTATTATGAAGTGGCCTTCCTTATCTGTTGTTATGTCCTTTACTTTGAGATCTAATTTGTCCAATATAAGTATTGCTACCCCAACTTTTTTTTTCATTTCCATTCGCCTGCAAAATCTTTTTCCATCCCTTCACTGTCAGTCTGTATGTGTCCTTTTTCCTAAGGTGGGTTTCCTGTAGACAGCAGATATTTGGGTCATGTTTTCTTATCCACTCAGCTACCCTATGTCTTTTAATTGGGGCACTTAAGCCATTAACATTTATAGTTATTATTGATAGGTACTTGTTTGTTGCCATTTTTGTTCTTTACACCTGTCTTCCTTCTTCGGTTCCTATTTCTTCTTTTTACAGCAGACCCTTTAGCATTTCTTGCATTGCTGGTTTGGTGGTAATAACCTTCCTTAGTCCTTTTTTGTCTGTGAAACTTCTGATTTCACCTTCAATTTTGATTGATAGCCTTGCTGGGTACAGTATTCTTGGATTTAGACCCTTCCTTTGCATGACTTTGCAGATTTCATTCCATTCCATTTCTGATTTCATTTATTTGGGTCCTTTCTCAATCTTGTTTATCCTCCAAAAGTTTTTTTTATGTATTTGGGTGCTCCTGTATTGGGTGTGTATATGTTTACCAGAGTTATATTTTCTTGTTGGATTGCTCCCTTTAGTATTATGAAGTGGCCTTCCTTATCTGTTGTTATGTCCTTTACTTTGAGATCTAATTTGTCCAATATAAGTATTGCTACCCCAACTTTTTTTTTCATTTCCATTCGCCTGCAAAATCTTTTTCCATCCCTTCACTGTCAGTCTGTATGTGTCCTTTTTCCTAAGGTGGGTTTCCTGTAGACAGCAGATATTTGGGTCATGTTTTCTTATCCACTCAGCTACCCTATGTCTTTTAATTGGGGCACTTAAGCCATTAACATTTATAGTTATTATTGATAGGTACTTGTTTGTTGCCATTTTTGTTCTTTACACCTGTCTTCCTTCTTCGGTTCCTATTTCTTCTTTTTACAGCAGACCCTTTAGCATTTCTTGCATTGCTGGTTTGGTGGTAATAACCTTCCTTAGTCCTTTTTTGTCTGTGAAACTTCTGATTTCACCTTCAATTTTGATTGATAGCCTTGCTGGGTACAGTATTCTTGGATTTAGACCCTTCCTTTGCATGACTTTGCAGATTTCATTCCATTCCCTTCTTGCCTGATGTGTTTCTGTTGAGAAATCAGTCGCTAGTCTGGTGGGGTGTACTTTGTAGGTAACTTTCTGTCTCTCTCTGGCCGCTTTTAAAATTCTTACTTTGTCGTTGGTGTTTGCCAATTTAATTATAATGTGCCTTAGTGTCAGTCTTTTGGGATTCATTTTGTTTGGGACTCTGATCTTCTTGGATTTGTGTGAGGTTTTTCTTCCCTATATCAGGGAAGTTTTCTGTCATTATTTCTTCAAACAGGTTTTCTATTCCTTGCTCAGTTTCCTCTCCTTCTACCACCCCTATTATGCGGATGTTGTTTCATTTCGTGTTGTCCCAAAGTTCTCTCAGGCTCTCCTCCTGCTTTTTAATTTTTTTTTTTTTCTAGATGCTGTTCTGTTTTGGGTATGTTTTCCTACCTTGTCTTCTAGCTTACTGATGTGGTCCTCTGCTTCTTATAGTCTACTGTTGATGCTTTCCATTGAGTTCTTTATAGCAGTGATGTCATTTTTCATTTCTTCTTGGTTCTACTTCATTTACTGTCGTTTCTTACACATATTGTTGAATTTGTCTTCCATTCTTTTCCGCCACCTTATGACCATCTCTCTGAATTCTTTCTCTGACATATTGCTTGCCTCCTTTTCGTTTACTTCCTTTTCTGGTGATGCCTCCTTTTCTTTCATTTGCAGTCTGTTTCTTTGTCTCCCCATGATCTCTCTTCTCTGGGTGTCTGGTTATGTAGCTCTTTCTCTTGTTTCCGTGAGGAGGAACAGGGCTCCTATGAGTCCATGTATTCTCACTGCTTGAGATCCGGTGTTCCTGGGTTCGTAATTGGTCCCTGGGTGCCATGGTTGCAGGGTCCCTGGATGTATATGTTTCTGATAACAGCCACTCTCCCCTTCAAGATGGTGTGGTCTCCAAGTAGTTTTATTTTCAAAGAAGCCTCCATATGACTCTATATAGCAGATGCACCAATTTACATTTTCACCAAGAGTGTGCAAGTTTCCCTCTTCTTTACATCATGGCCAACACTTGTTATTGTTTGTCTTTTTGATGATAGCCATACTAACAGTTGTGACGTGATATTGAATTTTGGTTTTGATTTGCATTTACCTGTTTGATTAGTGATGTTGAGCATTTTTCATGTACCTATTGGCCATTTGTATGTCTTCTTTGGATAAAATTTAATTCCTCTACCCATTTTTAATTAAATTGGTTTTTTGTTGTTGCTGTTTTTAGTCATATGAGTTTTTATATATTTTTGATGTTAACCTCTTATCAGATATGTTTTTGCCAATATTTTCTGCCATTCCATAGGTTGCCTTTCAGGTTTTTAAAAAAATTTTTTTGTTTGTTTTTTGTGGTGCAGAAACTTTTTAGTTTGTTGTAGTCCCAATTATTGATTTTTGCTTTAGTTGCTTGTGCTTTTGGTGTTATCTAAAAAAATCATTGTAAAAGTCAATGTAAAGGAGCTTATTCCCTGTGTTTTCTTCTAGGAGTTTTATGGTATGAGGTCTTATGTTTAATCTTCTTTAAGTTAATTTGTATGAGTAGTCTAAGATCGGGATCCAATTTTATTGCTTTGCATGTGGCTATCTGTGGGGAAGCACGGGACTTGGTTGGAATGTCTGTAAGGAGGATTTCCCGAAAGGTCAGGGGCCTCTGAGGGGACCTTGCTGAAGGTAGCAGACACTACCTTAACTTTTCCAAACAAGTCCAATCCCACAGGGTGTTTTGCTAGAATCTCAATGTTTAATCTTTAAAAACCCGACCTTGTAGAAGCATATACTTTCTCAAGGATGCTTACCTTGCTAATTGTATCTAGAGGTTAATTTTAGTTCAAGCTGTTATGATAATAAAAGCCAAAGGAGGCAAGTGAACAGGGCTACTTGGTGGTGATAGCCAAGTAGTGCCTTAGCCCTCTCTTTCACAGAAACATGTGTTGGAGTAATCATTCATCTGTCGTTCAGGGTCTGCTGGTCAGTCCCAGCAGCTATCTTATTTTCCCAACACCATTTATTGATTAGTTGAAAACACTTTTCTTTCCTCATTGAGTTCTTGACTCTCTTGTCAAATATTATTTGACCATAAATGCAGGAATTTATTTCTGAGCTCTCTATTCTGTTCCATTGATCTCTTTGTCTATTTTAATGATCATACCATACTATTTCATTACTATATCTTTGCAGTATAATTTGAAATTAGGAAATGTGGTGCTTTCAGCTTTGTTTTTTCTTTTCCATGATTGCTTTGGCTATTTGAGGTATTTTGTGGTTTTATAGAAATTTTAGAATTTGCATCTCTTTTTAAAATTTCATTGGAACTTTGATAGGGATTCCATTGAATCTATAGATGGCTTTGGGTAATATGGACATTTTAACAATATTAATTCTTCCAACCCATGAACATGGGATATCTTTCCATTTTTTCGTGTCTTCAATGTCTTTCATCAAAATGTTGTAGTTTTCATTTACAGATCTTCACCTCTTTGGTTAGATTTAGTCTTAAGTATTTGATTGAATTTGATGCTATTGTGAATGGGATGGTTTCTTTTTTATCTTCTGCAGATGTTTTGTTGTTAGTGTACAAAAACATCCTGATTTCTGTATGCTGATTCAACTTTATTGTATTCATTTATTAGTTTTTTGATGATTGAGTCTTTAGGGTTTTCTCTATATAAGATCGTATCATCTGTAAATAATGACAGTTTTACTTCCTTTCCAAGTCAGATGCATTTTATTTCTTTTTCTTGCCTAATTGCTCTGGCTACAACTACTAGCACTATGTTGAGTAAGAGTGGTAAGAGTGGGTACCCTTTTCTTGTTCCTGAACTTAGAGAAGAAACTTTCAGTTTTTCACTGTTGAGTATAATGTTAGCTGTGGGTTTGTCATATGTGGTGTTTATTATATTGAGGTATGTTCTTCCTATATTGAACTTATTGCAGGGTTTTATCATGAAAGAATGGCTACAACCTTCATCTTAATTGTATCTGGGATAATATGGAAGCCAAAGAACAACTCAGAGGCCCCTCAGAATAAAGACTGTTATTGTATTTTATGTTCTGAACATATTCAAAATTACATTCTGTGCATTGATGTGATACAGGGAGTAGAAATATATCTAATACTGAAATTGACCTTTCCTTCTTTGTTCCTCACAGGCAGCCCTAGAAGCATTAGATGAACTGGATCTGTTCGGTGTGAAAGGTGGGCCCCAATCAGTTATTCATGTCCTTGCTGATGAAGTACAACACTGCCAGGTAAGAAAATAATAGACCACATTATAGAAAATTTTATTCTTACCCAGATTCAGACTTAGTGTGGACTATAGAATAAAGAGAATAGATAATCTTATTTATTACTATGTGCCAAAAAATATCAGACATCCTATATTATAATAAGCCTGATATAGCATTAGCTATAACATAGATAATAGTCCTGTTCTCTCATCCATGGTTATAAAGGGATCACATCATAGCATATAGAATTCCTCACTATTGTCATATCAAACCTATGGACTATACACCTGAGTATCTCCTTTTCTAAATATAACAAGAGAGCAAGGCGGGGGGTGACTTATGTTGAGTGTTGATAGTGGCTCTGAAACATTCCCTTGTCCCAGGTTGGCTCTAGGGTTAACTGTTTGGAGTTTACACTGTTTAAATAAGGGGTAAGGAACAAGGGCCATTTGGATATTTATAACATCATTCATGGGCCATACAAAATTATCAACTTAAAAATTAGCCTGCTATATTTGGTCAAACATTTAATTAACTCACCTCTAATGCCTTGGTAGGGCCAGACCAAATGATTTAATGGGCCTTATATGGCCCATGGCCCAGATGTTCCCCACCCCTGGTTTAAATGATAAATGCATATATTTAGTTTTGGTTAGGATTACTCTTTGTATTGAAAGATTAAGGTTCTTCTCATTGGCAAAATGATTTTTCTTCTCTTCTTTAAACCCTGATTAGACATCCATAGTGTTATAGTAAATATGAATTCATCTTCTAATTATAAAAATTTTCATGGAAAAGATAAATACCAAGGATATATGAGCTGAGCCTTCCATTTCCTGCTTTCAGCAGCTACATTTTCTCTTATCTTTATGCTTAAATAGTTGCTAATAGAGCAACAGGATTGTGGGTGGGATAATGATGTTAAGAGTACTCTGTATCCATTTACAGTTGCTTAACAATCAGGATTGGAAAACATTGAGAGCAGTATTGAAACAAGGGATAATGCACAGAAATAGCTAGTTTTTAAAGCTCTCACTATTGAATGATGTTTAGATTTTCTTCTGAATGTTGCTCTTCTATATAAATCTTTGGAAACTAAATTTGTTAGTTTTACAACCTTGAGTTATTCACTAATATGCCACATTTGATTTCCTTTCTCTTAGTCTATCCTTAATTCAATACTTCCCCGGGCTTCAACATCCAAAGAGGTTGACGCTAGTCTGCTTTCAGTTATATCCTTCCCAGCCTTTGCAGTAGAAGATAATCAGTTGGTGGAGGTCACAAAACAGGAAATCATCACCAAACTTCAAGTATGTGTACATGTGCCTTTCTTTCCTTTAGGGTTCTTACTTTAAAGGGAAATTATCATTTTAGGCCTTCAGTATGACCTGTGTTGGTGATTTAACCAAATGATCAGGGTTAATATCACCAGAAATAAGGTGTATTGGCATCATGTACTCTCGATATACTGCACAGCACCTCTGTGACATCCTTCAGAATAATACATAACCTCAATCTAATCATGAGAAGACGTCAGACAAAATCAAATTGAGGGGCATTCTACAAAAAAACTGACACACATTTCAAAAGTGTCAATGTGACACTTTTTAAACAAAGAAAGACAGAAGCTGTCACAGATTCAGAGACTAAGGAGACATGACAACTAAATGCAGTGGGATCCTGAAACAGATACTGGAATAGAAAAAAAAATGCCATTAGTGGAAAAACTTGTGAAATCCAAGTAAGTTCTGTGCTTTGGTTAATAATGTTGTTCCAAGGTGAATTTTTTAGTTTTGATAAATTCTATAGTTATATATGATGGTTAATATAAGGGGACAGTGGTTGAAGGGTATATGGAAACTCTTTGTACTATTCTTGAAACTTTTCTGGAAATCTCAAACTATTTCAACTTTTTAAAAATAAGTTGTTTTTATTTTTAATTTTTAAAACAAGCCTAGGGTCTCTTATGTGCTCTGTAAACAGGAACACATAGATCAGTAATTGGGCTATCACAGACTTACCATAAGGTGGAAAGCCATGGGGAGGATAACATTAGGAACTCTGCTTTAGGGAAGAGTCTGTAACATAGCCCTCCCTTAAAATCATTTTGCTGAAATCAGCTTCTGCTGCTGGGCTATCAGGGTTTTTTAAATTATTATTTTTATTTATTGTGTCTATATTGTTGATAAGTTGGCACATGTACCTGTTGCAAAAGATGTATTTCTTTTTTTATATTTCTCAGCTACAGTTCACATTCAATATTATTTTGTATTACAGGTGTACAACATAGTGCTTAGACATTAATGTAACTTAAGAAGTAAACCCCAGTAAGTCTAGTATCCACCTGGCACCATACATAATTACAATATTATTTACTCTATTCCCTATGCTGTACTTTACATCCCCATGACTATTTATTCTGTAACTACCAATCTATACTTCTCAATCACTTCATCTTTTCCACTCAGCCCCCCAAAGCCCATCCCCCTGGCAGCCAAAAGTCTGTTCTCTATGTCTATGAATCTGTTTCTATTTTGTTTGTTAGTGTATATTGTTCTTTAGATTGCACATGTAAGGGAAATCATTTGGTATTTTTCGTTCTTTGACTGACTTGTTTCACTTAGCATAATACCCTCCAGGTCTATCCATGCTGTTACAAAATGTAAGATTTAATTCATTTTTTATGGCTGAGTAATATTCCATTGTAAAAAATGTACCACAGCTTTTTTTCTGCCTACATTATTTTATTTAAAATTTTTATTATTGACACTATTGCAGATGTTCCCATTCCACCCCCTTTGCCTACCTCCACCCAGCTCCCACCCACCCCCCTTCTCTTGGCCCTCACCACACTATTGTCTGTGTCCGTGGGTATGCAGATAGATTCTTTGCTACTCCCTTCACCTTCCTTTATCAGTCCCCTCCACATCCCATCTCTCTGACATTTGTCAGTCTGTTCCAAATGTCCATGCCTCTGGCTCTATTTTGTTTGTCAGTTTATTTTATTTATTAGATTCTGCAAATAAGTGAGGTCATATGATATTTCTCATTCTCTGACTGTCATATTTCACTTACCATAATAATCTCCAGGTCCATTCATGCTCTCACAAAGATTAATAGTTCCTTACTTTTACAGCTGTGTAGTATTACATTGTGTAATTGCACCACAGCTTTTTATCCAATCATGTACTGATGGGCACTTGGGCTGTTTCCAGATCTTGACTATTGTAAATAATGCTGCTGTGAACATAGGGTTGCATATGTTCTTTCTGATTGGTGTTTCGAGATTCTTAGAATTATATACCCAAAAGTGTGATTGCTGGGTCAAAAGGCAGTTCCATTTTAAATTTTCTGAGCAAACTTTATACTGTTTTCCACAGTGGATACACCAGTCTGCATTTCCACCAACAGTGCACTAGGGTACCCTTTGTTTTAGTCCTCACCAGCACTTGTTGTTTCTTGATTTATTGATAGTGGCCATTTTGACAAGTGAGAGTTAATACCTCATTGTAGTTTTAATTTGCATTTCCCTGATGATTAGTGACCTTGAGCATTTTTTCATTTCTATTGGCTATCTATATGTCCATTTTGGAGAAGTGTCTATTCAGGTCATTTGCCCATTTTTATATTTTATTTTAAT